GTTTAATTTGATTCTTGTCACCACATGAATGCTCATGTGCTCCTGTGCTCCAAATGCTTTTTCTTTTGATCCAAATTTTCAAAAGGTGCACTTGTAAGTGAAGAAATGAACCATTATACAGGAACTTTACTGAAGTTTCAAGAACTTCCCTGAAGCTCAGAAAGCTTCAACAATATTTTTAAAAATCTCAACGAATGACCAGAGATCTTTGGAACACTTCTGAGAACTTCAGAGCAGTTCTGTGAACAGCAAATACATTGTGGGAACCGAGGAGAGCGACTCTATCTAATATGCAGGAAAAGTTTCACTTTCCTGTTGTGAGATGCGTGCACGCTTAGTACATAGAAAGAAGATTGATGGAGATTTTAAAGATTTCCTGCAAAAAGTTGGAAAGCGATGCGAGTGTATAGATTTCGATGCAAGAGATGAAAAAAGATTTATCGTCGATTGAATTGATAACGTGAATTTTTCTGATCATCTAAAATTGAGATTTGGATGTTTATCATTGATGCTGTAGTGGTGTGAGTGTACATCAAGTACTATCGCAACTACCGGAAATATAGCTACTAGAGTTCATTATTATTAGGGCGTGACAACGATGGTGAGTTCACCATGTTTTATTTCAGCAACCTGACCTTCCAGCAGACGCTTTGGACAGTTATTTCACCATTTATAAAAAAAATAACTATATTTGCCAACAACACTGACTGTGTGTATCCTATGGCTTACCTTCCCTACTAACATAATTCCTGAATTCCCAAGACATTTATGAGGGGTTGTACAAGGGGTTGTTGCAAGGACGTGGCCAGGACAATCTTTAACTGTTGGAGAGAGATATGTCTTTATCTGGGAGATAGTAATTATTTCCTACTTACTATCTGTCTAGTAACAGATATCCGTCTTGCTCGTAATAGTTTCGGATTCGTACCACCTACGATATTGTGCAACTTGTTCGATGCTAATGCTAATGCTAATCTAAAATTGAGATTTGGATGTGTCGCACCCCCAGGTGGGAACTTAACAGATGTTCTAAGACCAAAAATAAAATTCAAAGCAGTTTAGATATCTTAAGCAAAGCTACGTGAACTTCAGGTATGCGATTCATATAATGTTTAAGCGGAATTGATCGAAACTCGATGTATTGTGGGCAGTGTTGGAAAAGTTCGCGATATTTCACGAAGTTCACCAAGGGAAAAGTTCGCGAGTCATAGTGAATTTTTGCGAACTTTTCCATCACTGATTGTCGGTATTGTGGGTTTCCCAGGTACCCAGTTTAAACTTCAATTGGCTGCGGTGAGTCTTCTTCTCCATCTAGCCCTGAATAGATAGTGTGAATAAGAGCGTCTATGGGATGTTTTGCTGTACCTGTTGTGGACATTAGTACATCCTTTTCCTTAAACTTGTTGAGGACGCCTTATCTTGCCTTAAAAGTTATCCATTTGATCCTCACACCATAAAGAGCACCATTACGGAGCATTAGATTTGATCAAATTATTTGCAGTTCTATTTGCAGAGGATGACACACACACATACATACACAATTAATTGAAAATCAAAATTTGAAACATCGCTGTTTTGACCCTGAACGATCTAGAACTAATCCGACCGAATAGGAATGTTCACTCGGATTCTGGTATCTACAAGCGTAAAAATTGCCAAGTCATAAATATTTAAAAAATTAAAGAGTAAATATCATACATATTTTTAAAATTTAAAGTGTACATTTCGTTTTGTTCCGCGGAGTTTCATGGAATCTAATTGCATACCCTTTTCAGGGCAGATCGAAGAACTTCAGGGCTGTTCCTGACCATCAGGAACACTAAGGATGCTACGAGAGCTTAAACAAAAAATTGAAACATTCTTGTAGTTCTAATCATGTCAAAAAAAACTATTGCGAACAATTAAGAAGCTTAGAGTGTTTTATTAAACTTTCAAGAATATCAAGAAAGTTCCGAAAACTCCAGCGTACAGCTGATTCTTTTTTTGTAAGGTATCTTTAGAGAGGCAGCCCTTTTAATTTCACGAAAATTCAGGTCAATCTCTTGATTTGTTTTCCGTTCGGAGCACCAATGCTACCGACGCCAGGGAGGCAGCTCCCACCCTGAACCCTACCTATCCGACCCATCCACTCATGTACCGAGGAACAACGGCTTTACTACCCGAAGGCAAGCGTGGATCAAAGATTTTATGCCTCAGAAAATCCCAACGGCGCCGAGTGGGATTGAACCCAGGACCATTGGGGTGAGAGGCAATCACGCTTACCACTACACCACCGGCGCCGCTACAAAAATTTAAGGAATTGCAAAGAAGTTCCAAAAAAATGAACAAAGTTCCAAGGTTTCAGGGAAGTGTCATGAACAGACTGCAGGAACAGAAAAGTTCCCAGAACTTCTGAAAAAGTTTCTTCCTTTTCTAGCAAGCTTTAAGAACTTCAAGCTGGTTCAATCACTTCAAATCAAACTGCAGCAACTTTTAAAAAGTTCTGAGAACTTTACAAATATCCGGAGAACATGAAAATCCATTTAAAAAAAATTAAATTAAGTTCTTAGAACATAAGGGCCTTATAGTCTAGTCAGTGAAGGCACGGTATTACCAAGCCGGAGGCAGTGAGTTCGATTCCCGGTCCGGTCGAGGAAATCTTTCGGTTTGGAAATTTTCTCCACTTCCCTGGGCATAGAGTATCAATGTGCTTGGCAAACAATATACAAATTCATGCATTGGTATTGCCATCGAAAGCTCTCAATTAATAACTGTGTAAGTGCATTTAGAACACTAAGTTGAGAGCACGCAATAAGCTAATATGCACTAAGCAATAAGCTTGTAATGCGACTAATAAGAAAAAAGAAGAAGAATAAGAATAAGAATAAGAAGAAGAAGCTCTGCGAACTTAGGTTTTGAGATCTTCAAAGAAGCTCAGAGTTCTTAAGGGAAGTTCCAATAACTTCAAAAATATTCCGAGAATTGTAGGAAAGCCCGGACTTTTGGGCAAGTGTAAGAATCTGTGTGGTCTGGTTTCGAAAAAATCAGGTCAGTTCCAAGAAGTTCCGGATAATTTCGATAACGCTTAAGAAGCGGTGTCAATATCAGGAAAGTCCAGAAAAACTACAGAGAAATTTCGAAATGTTTAGAAAAAGTTAGTGACCTTCTGACAAGTCCGAATGACTTAAAGATTCGTTGAATATTTCCATTTATTTAAGAGCTTCAGCATTTAAGAGCACTTCATGAGAATTGTGAGAGCATCAGAAAAGCTCCGAGAACAACAGAAAAGATCAGCGAACCTCAGGGCAGTTCAATTAAACTACAGCACTTTCAAATAAGATCTGAGTAGCTCAGACAATTTCCGGAAACTTTTGCAAAGTTTCAAGGGATTCAAAAAATCGCGGGATCTTCAGGGAACTTCCATGGACATCGAGAAATTGCAGGAACATCATAACGGAAGTTCCGATAACTTCATGACAGTTTCAAGAACTTCATAAAAATTGTACCAACTTCAGCGAAAATCAGAGAACTTTAAGGTAGTCCCATTAGCTTCAGAACAAAAAAAAAACGAAAATATTTAAGAAGTTCCGAGATCATCAGGAAAGTCCAATAAATTTCAAATCATTTAGAGATTTTTAGGCAGTTTTTTTAGGAAAGTTCCGAGTATTTCGAACCAGATGTAAGACCTTCAAAGCACTTCCATTGAGTTCAGAAAAGTTGCCAAAAACTGCCAAGAAGTTAAAAAAATCATGGCAAATTTCTAAAAATTTCAAGAATTTTCCAGGAATTTCAATAAGGGTTGGGGTCAACTGAGTAGTTCCATTAATATCAGGCAAATGCTGGATCGTTAAAGAAATTTCGAGACTTTTTAGTAAATTTGGGGAACTTCAGGGAAGGTCTAAGGATCCAATAAACAAATTAAGCTGCTGATCAGCCTTGTACTGCTAAAAACCGACTTATTCAGCTTTCAGCCTGATAAATTGTTTGTTAGGAAGTTTAGGAAAGTTGAGTGATTTTAAAAGATGCTTCGTGAGCCTCAAGGAAGTTTTGAAAACTTCTGGAAAATTCTGGAAACTTTGGAGAAGATCTAAGAACTTCAAGGCAGATCAATAAACTTCGGGAAATTGGCGGAAACTTTTATAAAGATTTTATAAATTTAGGAAAATCTAGAGAACATTTTGAGGCATTTCCATTAACATTGTATGGAAATCTAGAACCGTGCTACTATTCATACTGGTGACAACGCTCTGATGAGACAACGAAACCCTACCCAAGCTCCTCCCCTGATCCTGTCCTTCTACCAGGGCTGGCAAATGTCATTTTCAATGAAAGATCTCACGCGATATTTACAGAGATACTTCTTGATAGTGACTATTGGATGAGACAACGATGATAAAGATTTTCTTCAAAATCTCATCGAATTTTTTTGTCATGGTAGAACGTGACAATGTTGTGATCATCGTAATTACTAGCTCATTTAATGCTATTAAAGTTACTTTTAATCTTAAAAATACATTCACTCTACCGATTACATACGGTTGTTTGCTTAAATTCATCAAAATCAGTTAGAAATGTGGATGTCAAAACCGCATAAGAATTATTGTCATGAGTGCTTGATTATTGAAAAATGATAAGAAAGCTAATGATAGGTAGTTTCATCTCGTGATAGTGAGAGGACCTGTTTTCTCATCGTCACATGACGGCCGTGGTATTTACCAGCTTTGCCTTCGACAATGAACCCCCATAATCTCATGTAAGCCACGAGTATTCGGTCGAACTCCTACTAGACATAGAAATAAGTGAGTTTTGTTCCAAACAATGAACAATTATCGGCTCCGTAAAGATGACGTAATTGAGCCTTCCAAATATACGAACTAGATAAAAAACAAAGTAAATTAAGAAGAACAATTTTAACCGTATATCTCTTTTTTTCATTGAACCCCATCAACTTAATCAGTACTAATCGGTTTCCGAAATAAGAACTCGACCATCTTTCCAACACAAAAAAAAACCAAACTTACCGTTCTCTGGATTCTCATCTCTGTTATCCAATCAAGTTATTGAAAACTGCTGCTATTCCTCCGGTCAATGAAGATTTTCTTCCTTCCTTTCAACACCACTTAACAAACACTTTTCACTAATCAAACCCTAAATGAGGTAGGAAAAAAAAACAAACAAAGGAAATACTTTAAACCCAACTCGACTGCTAATTTCTAAACGTCGCTAGAAAGCAACCCAAGGCAATTATCAAAAAATCCTAAAATTTCACTTTCAATTAAAATTCGCTAAACAATAAACTGGAGGAAAATAAAAAAATAACTCAAAATCCAAATTCATATGCACACCACTGATGACGAAAACCCGAGACCGATTATGAATGCTAATCCCGTCCCGAAACAACACTGTTGCTCTTCTTCGGATCCGTGTTTCTACACGGTTGTTACTGTTGTTACGTTGAGCAGGTTGCACGGTGGCTTTTCAATTGCTCCACTGAATGTTGATGTGTCGCAGTTTGGTTGCCTTAATATTGACTATGAAACAAAGCGCACTAAGACGATCGATCGGTTTTCCCATTCCCTCCGCTTCTGTTCCCACTCGAAACGTTCACAACGCGACGAACCCCCGCTCCGCTCGTTCACTAGTATAGTCTTTAGATTGATTGCGACACCACTCTAGTCAATGTTTCCAATCACACATTATCCATAGATGCTTCATTTGCTGTCACTAATTGAATTCACCAGTTTTCCAAATCGGGTTTTGCAATCAAACCTGGATCGTCGGAATCGACGGGTATCCTGCGCAATTGTTCCACCCGCACACATAAATGCAATAGCAAGGAACGAAACTCACACGCGTTCGGCACTTCTTTCCGGAGATCTCTCTGCGTACTACACTCGGTGACGTTCTTTTGCAAAATGACTTTAATGACCTATCCTGCACAGTGTTTTATAACCTTTTTTTCTACGGCGGCCAATCGACGGGGCGTCGCGACGCGTGTGAGTTTTGCGGAGCGAAGCGAGCACGAGGCAAGACTGATCCTCTCACCTTAGGACCCCCAAGCGGCTTGCTGAACACTGCTAAAAGTATCGGTAGTGGGTAGGTAGCTAGCAACAGAAGCCATCGCAGTGCTGCTGCCGGGTCTCTTCTTTGATATGCTCTCTCGATCGCGTTCGCTCGAGGAAGGTTCTCTTCGGAGAGATCTTAGAAGGTTGGTGGTAAGTGGTGTCTTCCAGCGGGGTGGCATACATAGAGAGTGAGAGTGAATTGTACTTAGTGGGCCGATGATCGTGGAGAATTTTAGTTTTCCCTTTCGTTGGAGCAGCTGGAGCTGCTGGGAGAATTGTTGCGGTTGATGCCTCGGCAGTTACACCGCGCCGCAACAAGAGTCGGTGCGGTGTAATGTGAAGCTTCGCGCTCGGAGACTTCAACGCCGGAATGGAAAACGAAACTCGATTTTTTTTTTTGCACAATGGTGGATCACATTCCATACTGAGAAGTTTTCAGTTTAACATTTTTACTGTGACGTTTTTTTATGTTTTATTTTATGGTGAAGTGGGTTTGTGTCTTTTATCAAAATAAAACATTAAGAAATGTGGTGGAATGCGGCTTTACCAATTCTTTGCAATGCAAGGTTGGTATAGGGTAAATTTCTGTAGAGTAAGACATGGCAAAGGATCAACTGCAGTTGAAACATTAAAATATGACAAAACTCAAGGATTTGGAATCAAACAAATTGTATACACAATTATTTTTTATTTATGGATTAGCGACTTGACTGTAAGTCGTTAAACCATAAATAAAAAAATGTGGATAATTGATTATAAGAAAGTTTGAACATACTGAAAAGTAAGCACATATCATCGGTAGGAGACGTGTGTGGGACAAATGTTATGGTTTGCAACTGTTTTCTGCAGACCATTTTTGAATGCACGCTCATTTTTTAACTAGTTCTTTTATTTATTAGGCTCAGTCATGTGTGACACTTTGCGGAGCCAAAAATCCGTAATTTTTTAATTAGCATTTTAAAAAGCAGTACTTTTAGGTTAGTATTGGGTACCAATTACTCGTGGCGGGCTCGAGGTTAATGGGCAATAATTTCGATTGGAAGGACCTAGATAGGAGACTGGTTTCTTAAACCTCCTTCAGATACTACTCTCGAAAGGTTGACCAAATGCTGACTCGGCAGGGGCAAGTAACTCAGAAACAGGAGGTTAATAAGACTGAGACACAATGGCTGGAAACTGTTTGGAAAGGAGGGGATGGTCATATCAAACTCTAACATCTGACAAACAAAGGAATTCTTAGATCACCTGCATGTAGGGAAGATCACGGATTCCCAATACATCTCTTACTTCACGGAAGGGTGGCCAACTCCGGCCCTCTAGGGTATCCAACAGTCGTGCTCTGGAGGTGTCATTACCCGGGCAATGCCAAACTGCGTGATCGATGTCATCATAACCGGTTCTGCATCTAAATATATTGCTAACGAGGTTTATTCTTACCGACTTACATCCAGACCTTTGAACCACGCACTCGAAGAAACATTCGGAATAATGGAATGTAGCCACTGCCCAAGAGAATTACTTGTCCAATCGTTTTGCCAACTTAGAAGAGAACTACTACTAATGGGAAAAATTCATCATGTGAAATTCTTCTATCATAAATCTCGTCTTGTTGTGCGTCCACCTTTGCGAAAGAGTCTGTCTTCTCATTGCCTGGGATTGAGCAATGTGAGGGGACCCATACAAAGGTACATACAACGTAATTCTATGAATTGGTGTTACTTGGGAAGATGAGTTCCTACCAATCGAACTGAGACTATCCGAGAAGATGAAGTAATGGTCTGTGGGCATGTTGGAAATCATCCCCAATGCGAAGTTGATTGCTGCTAGCTCAGCAACATAAACGGAACAAGGTTCCTGAAGTTTCCGGAAGGCGGTTGAGTATTCATTGAAGACGCCGAAGCCAGTGGATCCATCAATGCGTGATCCATCAGTGAAAAATCTTCTATTGCAATTGACTTGCTGGTACTTTTCAGCAAAAATACGGGGAATTGAGATAGGTCGAAGTGGATCTGGAACTCCTTGAATAGCCTGTTTCATGGAGAGATCATATTCAATGGGGGAACTGTAGTTAGTAAAGCGTACACGACGGGGGCTATAGCACGGAAGGCTACTATCCGATGACATATAGTTAAGGTAGATTCACACGAATCTAGACTGGGTGCTCAACTCGAGCATTGCTTTGAAGTTTTCAATCACAAGGTTGTTACTGATACTACATTTGATCAATACTCTTAATGAGAGCTCCCAGAAACGGGGACACACAGCTGCTTTTTGTGACAACAAGCCCCGTTGTGACAAATGTAGCCAAGACCACTTCGAGTGTACTTGCCATCAGGAAGCAACTAAATGTGCTTACTGTGGCAAAGATCCTCTTCATGCTTTGCAGGACTGCTCCGCGTACAGGAAACGTACCAACAATGTGATGCGTTCCATTAAAAAACACTCCAAGCTGACGTATGCAGAAATGGTTAAGTTGCAAAATGGAACCTCTGCTTCTTTGGCATCAGCCGCACAAAATGGAAACACTTATGAGATTTTGTCTTCCGATGAATTGGGCTATGAAATTTCAGACGAGAGTGAGTCTCCGGAGGTACTCGTCCCCAGTAAAAGGAAGCCGACTAGCTCACTGGGAGTGAGCCGGAAAAATTAAACCCACTCTCAAAAGCTTGCAAAAATCTATAGGTAGCGGGGATTTATTGAAAAAGCCGAACAAATCGGTAATTGCTGCTTCATCTGATCCTTGCTACAGCTATTCCAACCCGCCGCTACCCAATAAAGGTAATCGTAAGAGGTTACCAAAAATAAAAACCACGTCTACACGCAATTCCAAGAACACTCTCCCGTCCAAGCGAGGAAAGATAAAATTTAAGGACATTGTGGATAATATTTTGAATGCCCTCGGCATTTTCCGACGATTCGCCACTTCGAGGGCTTATTGACCTGCTTGTTCTTATAGTTGCAAACTACTTCAAGCAATTGACTGTATCATGGCTGTTTACAATACAATTCTACATAAACTACACACTTAGAAATAACTAATTTTACACGTGACGGAATCCGTCTTTGACATAAAAGATGACATAAGTGCTCTGAGACTTAAAAGTTCGTTGCTCGACGAAAAGTACGTTTGATTGAACTATATTTCGCGTATGTTATGACTCAAATTTATGTCAAAATTGACGCTCGTATATGTCACTCTCAGAGCACCTAAATTTACATGATTTTTTCTAAGTGTGTATATTATAATTTAACTTACGATAAATCCGAAAGTGGTACGGTTACCCCACCGAATACTATAATGCAGATTAAACTATCGAACGAATAATTTTAATATCTTTAATACTTTTTGATGCCACGTGTTTTTGCCATACAAAGTTATTCATTACTATTTTCCTCCGTTTGTTTATCTTTTGGTTATCTTACTCTATCCATTCTCACACACTCACTCACCTTCAATTCCTTTCTGCTCGGTCCCTCACTGACATTTGGAATCAAGGTTAGATGCGTTTCGCAGGTTTCGCACGTCGCAAGGTGTATCGATAGTGCTCGGCGGTGCGCACATAGCCCCTTCCCGTAATTCTGGTGAGGGTCCCTCCACGGAACCAGATTTACGCTCCTGAACTTCCAGCACCGCCAACTTAGTTAAGGGACGTCTGAACTCCCCTTTCGCCGTCTTCACTAACGCCTGCCTGATCCTGCCGTCTGCTCCAGGGTAGACTTCAATTACCACGCCACGAGTCCAAGTCTAGCGTGTGGTTCCGTCCGCGATGTAGACCAGGTCTCCACGACTGACTGGTTGCGCCTCCGAATGCCACTTCGATCGCTTGTTGATCGTGGGTAGATATTCCGTCACCCATCTCTTCCACAGCTGGTCTGCCAAAGATTGTGACTGTTTGAAACTGTCCCGCAAAGCTTCAGCTTGGATCGTGCTAGGAATTAGTTCTGCTTTACCGGGTTCGATACTCTTGACGAAGTGATTTGGCGTGAGGGCTTCGTTTGCATCCGATTCAAGATCACAGTACGTTAATGGGCGGAAATTGATCAGGTCTTCTGCCTCTGCCAACGTAGTTAGAAATACTTCGACCCGTCAATCGTCTTCCGTCGTTGAAAACCACCAATGCTGCTTTAACCGAACGGACCAGTCCCTCCCAAATTCCACCCATGTGTGGCGCACTAGGAGGATTAAAATTCCTGGAATCCGTCAGTTCTTCCCCTCAATCTCCTTCGATTTTTTTTAGCTATCTGGTTGCTGTCTCCTTGGAAGTTTGTGCCATTATCCGAGAAAAACTCGATCGGTTTACCTCTTCGGCAAACGAACCGCCATCGATTGCCATCAGGCACGATTGAGTCGTTAGACTGTGAGCGAATTCAAGGTGAATTGCCCTCGTCGTTAGGCACGTGAAAAGACAAATCCACCGCTTTTCCGACCTGCGTCCGACAGTAACGATCATTGACCCACAGTAATCGACGCCAAATGGCTGTAAATTTGGAGTAAGTCGAGCCACCGGAAGCGGAGCCACTCTAGGAATTCTTGGCCGACACCTTTTTACCTTGCACCAAACGCACGCCTTTACCACTGCACTGCCTTCAATTCTGTCCTAAAGGATCCAGAAACGTTGACGGAGCTCATTAACCACAGTCTCCGCATTCGCGTGCGCCGCTTACTGGTGATGGTATTCCAACAACTTTGTAGTGATCGGGTGTTTCTCGGGTAAGATTACTGGGAATCGAAGTTCAAAAGGAAGTTCAAAAGGAAGGAATGAACCGCGAGGAATGAACCGTAGCAGATCTTGCTCGTCCAAAAACGGGTGATATCGCACAAATTTCTATTCTTCTCCAACGGATGCCACTTGCTGTTCTGAATTTCACGGTTCTTCGCAAGGATCTTGA